CGGGACATATGGTCCCCCGATCCAATGACAAAATTAGGCGTTTCTCATGAGTTCCTCCAGCTTTCTCTCTTCAAATTCCATGATCTTCATTCAAAACATCTTGTGCCATCCCAGTTTGTGTAAGGCACATTAGGGCACAGTGGTTAGTGCAGAATGTCTTGGGAATCACACTGAACACCTGCTGATTTAGCTCTGATTAGCAACCTACTTCTGCAGGCCTCTTTCTTTAGACCTCCTTGTGCGATGGTCCTTGTGCAACTTTGCACGACTTTGTATCCTTCCCCAAATGGTAGTCACTTGACTAACAGTTTGTCACTTGACAGCACTTTGAGCTGCCTACAAAAATATCCATTTTGAAGTCAAAATTTATTTATGTACAATCTTTTCACATTCCTGGATGATTCTTTTCTTGTTTCATAGCTTATCATGCTGCAACATAAAGTGACATAATATTGATAATTTTTTGGAGTAGTAAGACAGAACAGCTGTATCCTCTGCACCATACCTGATTATTCTCCACACTTAATTTGATAGTTAGGAGGATGGCTACATATGTTTTGAGATCTCTTTGGAACGGGCAGTGAAACAGATGATCCGATCCAGTGTCATACAAGCCTTATAATATTTCAGTGGGATTCACTTTACAGGTTTTCACTTTTCAATCAGGGGAGATCCCGGACGATTGGAAAAAGGCAAATATAGCGCCCATATTTTAAAAAGGGAAGAAAGAGAACCCGGGGAACTACAGACCAGTCAGCCTCACTTCAGTCCCTGGCAAAATCGTGGAGCAGATCCTCAAGGAATCCATTTTGAAGCACTTGGAGGAGAGGAAGGTGATCAGGAACAGTCAACATGAATTCACCAAGGGCAAGTCATGCCTGACCAACCTGATTGCCTTCTATTATGAGATAACTGGCTCTGTGGATATGGGGAAAGCGGCAAATGTGATCTATCTTGACTTTAGCAAAGCTTTTGATACGGTCTCCCACAGTATTCTTGCCAGCAAGTTAATAAAATATGGACTGGATGAATGGACTATAAAGTGGATAGAAAGCTGAGTATATTGTCA